TATATATATATATATATATATATATATCAGTCGGTGAAACTCCGACGAAACAGTTTGTCACAGCCCCTCGTTTGTTGTCCTCTTCTCCCTCTCTGCCTACGGTTTACCGGGCAGTTCTATTTGACGATATATATATATATATATTACCGGACAGTTCTGTTTGTGACGATATATATATATATATATTGCGGGTGTGCGCTCTCGCTGTGTGTGTGTGTGTGTGTGTGTGTGTGTGTGTGTGCATCGGGGTGAGGGTTTGTGTGGTCTATGATTGTGGTCATGTGTGCACGATGATGCCACTATCTGGATTTTCTGTGGCAGGTTATGTTATGAGGTTTGTTTCTGTGTCTGATAGTCGCCTTCTGCTACATGTAATATGTGAGCTCCTTTTCCTGATAGTTAATGTCTGTTCTGTACTTGCGTGGTTGTCTTTGCGAACAATGTTTTTTTTGCAGATTTCTGAGATTGTGAACAACATGACAGATCTAATGGATTATAGCGAGGAGCATGGCATCAATCCAATTGGTGGGATGATCGAGCCCAACTTTCCCTCAGTTGCTTTTCTGCTTTGTATCGCAGCCTGATCAGTTGTTGCGTGCTCTGTATTTCCCACAATTGTGAGCTGCTGCTAATACGGTGACTTTTGTGGCAAGAACTCAAAAACTCTTGATTCATTATGAGACTGGGATCCAGTATTTGTCCGGCGGGGGGCGGGTTGTATTGTGGACAATTTAGTTTGATATAAGCAGGCTACAGGTTAGTTTAGGAAAACTGTCGCAAAGTTCATCAAAAGTGAGGTGAAAGGGGGACATGAAAAGGCATTCCCAGTCCAGTCCGTTTGCAGCAAGTACTAGAGTGTGGACTGCACATCTTGAGAGCCTGGGACATCGGCAGGCCCAGACCACCAAACAAAAACAGTATAAATAAAGAGGCAGCGATCAGTCATTCACTCATTATCTGGAGAACTAGCTCGAGTGACTTGTGCGTTGAGTTCACCGGTGGTCAGTTGGTTGCCCGGCGGTGGGAGAGGGCGAGTGGTCATAGCCGCTAGGAGGAAGACGGCGGCGGCTATAGCCGCCTATGTATATAAGTTAGGGGATAGTGTGTGAAGCGTGGATGCAGACTTTCACGGTAGATCTAAGTGTTGTGTGCGTGCGTACCTGCGTGTGAGTGTATGACGGTGATTACAGTGTTTGGATGGGAATTCCAGACTGGCACTCAGACGCCATAGCCATGAGATGTGACAAGTTGTTTGAGCCTGAGTTCCTGGCCGAAGGCCATATCTCTGAGTTTTTGTGTGGGCACACTGCGCTATCGCAAGTCTGTTGCTGATTCTGCGTCTGTGGAAGTTTCTGTTACCATCGCCAGCTGCATGTATGCATGTTGAACGTGAGGTGAAGACAAGTCTGATTGCAGAGGCAACAGCTGAAGGTCAATTAAAATGGGAGAAAGTAAATGATATCACAGTCACTTGGGCATACACGAGGACTCCACAGGATGTGTTTGGCCCGTGCATCCAGTTTGAGAGTCAGTGCGAGCATGGCCTCACAAGTTGTTCTGCATGTGTGGGTCCTGCTAGATGTTCACCTCTGTTTTTTCATTTTCTCCCATTTCAGAAAATGCCTGCCCGCTTTCTAGGTAACGCGAAGGATGTTGAGGAGTACATATGAGCTGGCTAGTGGGTTTGATCATGAGGCCTAGGGTTGGAGCGTCAGATGCGGCTAGAGGGTTTACCTACCGTGAGCCGAGGCCATGATGCTTCCACTCCTCCCAGCAGCTGGGTCTTGCTGTTGTTATGCCCTAGGTGGCTGCTGTATTATGCTGTGGTCATCCCAGGCTGCTTCGGCATTACAGAATTCTCAATCGAAATTCCCAGCGGAGAGCTCGTTCATTTATGGTGAATTCAAAACTCTGAACCCCTGGCTGGAGAACTCACTGTGTGAACCTACAGGGACATGCAGGTTTTGTTGGCCCTATTACATGCTGATTAAAATTATGACGAGAGTGGCAGGACCTCCAGGGTGCTGCGGACAGCTACTATTGGCGTTGTGACGTGCTGCTCACGATATCGATGACAGCGATGGGACCCTTTTGATCTGCGTGTCATGGACAACACTATGGATGGAGGCTGTTGAACGTACTGCATACAGCCTACTGAACTTAGGGCACTAAGTGTGGTGGTACTGTGCTTAGCCTTAAACCACCATGCAATCAGACTCGCTATCTTTCGCACCTCACATGGATGTAAACAGGTTGCGCAACAAACTGGCGACAAGCGCCCACTCAGAACTCAGAGATATGGTAGCCAAGAACGCAATTCAGATACAAGCTCACTTCAACCAGCTATGGCGCAACAGTGCCTGTACAACTCTCTGTTCGTCGCTAACCCAACTCTGCTGTTCACACACGCCGGCTCACCCTGGATATCCCACACGCATCACACTGTACACACACGCACACACATACACGCTACACTCTCCTATCAGCTATGGCGGCTATGGCCGCTACTACACCTATCGCTATGGCTAAGCTCTTCTTCTCGCCCACTTCGTCTTCGGGCTCACTGCAGACCACGTCGTACAAATCGCTGTGGCAGCGCTTCCGCATGGCTTACGCAGGAATGAATGAATGGGTGGGCGCTGCCTCTTGATTTATACTTCTGCAGCTCGTTGGTCTGCCCCCTTTCCCATGCCCGTGGTGCACACAGTCCCATACGGTACTTGCTTGACTGGACTAGGGCTGACTGGGACTGGGACCGCTGACTCAGCGCGGGTAGACTCCACCACTTGCCCACTTGCCTCAGCCTAAACGTGAGCAGCTTCGAAAGGCCACTGCTAGGACCTTCCGGAAGGCCGTGGACTTGGCCTTTCAATACTGTAGCAGCTACGACCTTGACCTTTCGGAGGAGCTACAGCTACGACTTCCAGACCTTGCTAAGACTCCTATCCGACAGGTCTACAGATCGAACCCCTATAACCTACAGACCTACGACGACCTACCAACTGGGGAAAGAACACAGGTCGTGGGTTCGACTCCTGGGGTTGACACAGATACTGTACACAGCTAACGTAAGTCTAGGGATCGAGCCCTGGGATCTGCATCGGCTACTACGAACAGGTGAATACCGTTTCACTCCCGCCGGCCAAAATTCGAGGTCCTCCGAGAATAACTCAGTCCAAGGCAGGACCTTTACCTTTCTTATCTCTCTCGTAGGCTCTAACTATGTCGGGAGCTGTTTCTAGAAGTTCCGTTCTAGTAAACCAGCGGTCGTCCTCCGGTTCCTGATAAGCAAACCGGACCTTATACTGTTTCTGTGGACGACCTCTATCTCCTATTCTAAACACATCTTCACTTACAATATCGTCAATATCGTACCTTCCATCCATGTCTGGAGGGATCATGGATCTTCTAGATGGAAATTGTTGGCTTGTGACACACGGCAACAACTTTGATGCATGAAACACAGGGTAGGCGTGGAGGTGTGCTGGGATCTCTATTGTGTAGGACGGCCCATCTTCTCCGCCCTTGACTTCTAGAACTGGCCATGGTCCCCTGTATGCTGGCAGTAACTAAACAAATCGTTCATATAGTGCTGGAACGTGGCAGGTGCATTGGTTAGTCCAAAGGGCATCATTATAAACTCATAGTGCCCATATCTAGTCCGGAACGCAGTCTTGTACTGGTCATCAGGATGGACCTCTATCTGATGATATCCAGACTTCAAATCGATCTTCGAAAAATATCTGCAACCCTGCACCCGATCTAAAAGATCGTCTATCCTGGGCAGTGATTCAACGTTCTTCACTGTAATAGCATTTAGACCCGTATAGTCTATGCACATCCATAACTCTCCTTCCTTTTTGGGGACAAACAAAACTGGTGCTCCAAAAGGAGATGAGCTGGGCCTAATCCAACCCTTTTCGAGGAGCTCATCCAACTGCTTGCGCAGCTCCTCTAATTCCCTAGGGGACATCCTGTAGACTGCTCCCTTAGGAGTTCAACTGCTAGGCCCTATCTCTATTCAATGATGGATCGGCCACGACACTACTCTTGACGGCGGCTCTGCCAGATCTTTGAACTCTTCCAGCAACTTGGCAATGGCTGGGTCTATGGGTGTGTCTTCCTTAGGCTCAGTGACAGGCCTCACATAAGCTACGAAGACCTGCTCCTCTAATTGCTCCTTTCTCACTAATCGCGTGAAAGCGGGAGCACTGAGACAACAATGTGCCAGAGAGTTGTCTACTCCTGACACATGAAACAGACGGGCAGTCTTGACTTCGCCTGATGGACTAGGGAGCCTACACTCATGCTCTCTCAAATGGAGTGTGGCCTTTGCTGCCTCTCCCCAGTCCATACCTAGGACTATATCAAAAGGAAGGTCATCCTGTACGAGGAGAGTCAGGGAATGAAGAACCTTCTCCACTCTCCCATTTTTCTCTCTCCCATCTTTCTCTAGGCAGAAATACGCCTGGACTCCCTCTACGTAGTCCTCAACACGCATAGTGCGGTTGTCTGCGAGGACAGTAACTATGGGGTCTTCCAACTTTTGGACTTTCAACCCTAGCCTTAGCTTCTTCAGCGCTCTACGGCTAATATAACTGTGGGTAGCCCCTCAATCTATAAGGGCTCCTACTCTACTCCCGAAGACCTCTACATCAACTAAGACTTGTTGTCCCTTACTATCCTTCTTCATTTTGGCCCAGGCAGGCATTGTCTCCTTCAACTCTTCTGCCACACCTTTGAGGGCGAGATGACAAAATCCAGATTGCATAATCACATTGCAAGCCAGAAAGTATCACAGTGTCCAGAAAGCAGCATTGCACCGATATAACACAATGGAGAATCATAATATTGAAAACCGTTGCCAATGAGAGCTGGCTCTCGCCATCACCAACATAAGTGTCCAGGCCCTTCTCCCTACTTGGCGCTCGGCGCCCAGCCTACTCCCTACACAGCTATTATCTGCCGCCTAATTGACAATGCAACTGTTGGTGTCAGCAGCCAATGACGTACTTGAAGATGTCGACCAATGCTGACCATCGCCAATACCAGGTATGTGCCCTCACATCATCATCATCATCATCATCATCATCATCCTGCCTTCTTCCTTGACTTACACCAGCGTCTTCCCTCTGTACACCCGAAGACCACCCCTGCGCCCCTCTGTAGTCCAAGCCCCAGCCAGCTATGGAGGTTGAGCTATGGCGCTGTCCTCAGCAGCACCCTTCCTTGTACATGACCGCCTGTGCGCAGCACCTTGCCTTAGCGCAAGCAGCAGCCCGCGAGACTCCGCTCCAGCAGCGCTGCCGCTAGCTTGCAAGTGCCCGGATGCCGTCCCACGCAGCGAGCTCTTTCCTATATGGAAAGAGTCTGCCTGCCCAGCGGCCTGGCTGGGATGGGCCAGCTCCCAGAAGCTTCCGGTAGCCCCCAGGAGGCTATGCCTCTGTTGCAGCTGCTGGGCCTGGTTCGGTTGGGCCTCCCAACTATCTGTGTATGAGGCTGTGATTCTTGCCCAAGGCCTGCAT